CTCCTTCTCCTCCTCCTCCTCCTCCCCCTCCGTTGTTGTTATGCACCCAGAGGGGGAGAGAGAGAGAGAGAGAGAGCCGCCGTTGTCTCGCCGGGCCCTCCTCCGAGCCGTCCTGTCCACGGAGCGACGGGAGACGGAGACCTGGACCTCAGGGGGGGGGGGGGGGGGGAAAAAGGTGCCGATGCTGCTGCCACACTTCTCTCGGTCCTCCTCGTTTTTGGTCCTCCTGTGAGGGGCCTGTGCCGCCACGCGGCTGGAGTCGCCTTTTGGAAGCCTCCGAGGGGGGAAAAATGTGCCGATGCTGCTACACTTCTCTCTCGGCCTTCCCCTCTTTTGGTCCTCCTGGGAGGGGCCCGTGCCGCCACGGCCGGACTTTCGCCTTTTGGAAGTCTGGCCAGAGCGCGCCTCGGGAGAGGTCTGTCAGGAGGGGAAAAAACACACAGACACAGTTACTCGTCGATTCCCCAGAAAACATGGGAAACTATAGGAAAAGTGTGGGGGAAGACAAAAATCCAGAAAATATGGGAATCGATGGGGGATTATTTTATTTGTGTGTATTTTTTTGTGTGCCCCAGGGCCCCTTCAGTCTGTGGCGTAGCGTCATTGGCACCTCTCGGCTTCCCCCAGGACCCTGGACCGCGACCTGTGCGAGAACATGGGCGACGCCCTGTACGGGCTCAGCCGGTACCCCGCGGAGGACACGGAGGACCTGGCCGGCGGCGTGATGGCTTCCGCGGAGGGCATCTGCAAGCTGGTGCAGGACCCCGTCGCGCGGGGGGGGGGGGGGCGGCGGGTGCCGCGGGCAGCCACGATGCAGCCGGGCCGCTGCCCCGTGCAGTTCTGCCCTGCCCGCCGTCGTTGTTCTGCTCGCCTGCAGCCGGCTGCTCCTCCTGTTCCTTGCCATGCCCGGCGTCGCGCTCGTCCTCCTGCTCCTCCTCCGCCTCCGCAGGTAGCCTGCGTGTCTCGTGGTCCTCCTCGGCCTCCTGGGCCTCATGCAGCTTGCCCCTTGCGTCCTCCTCTTCTCCCCCCCTCCCCCATCGCCACCCTCCCCTGGTCCTTCTCATGCTCCTCGTTCCTCTCATCTCCCCCTCGCGCAACTACGTAATGTTGGCCAACGGGTTTCCCGAACAATGCATGCGTAGCCATTTCTACATATGATATGTATGCATGTGTTGTGCAACCTGTCTTGGGCAAGCTACTTCCTGCAATCTTCGTGGTGCATTTTATTTCTGTTCGCAGTGAATTGTCAACTCCACTGCTCGCGCAATCCTCCCACCCACCCACCGACCCACAACTGGGTTTGCAAAGCCCATGCGGAGGCGATTGCGATGATTGCTTGTCGTTGGCTGGTGCATCGCTGCGACCGCGGTAGCGCGCGCAGGCTCGCGCGCAGGGCGGCCAGCTTGTCTGGCGCGACCGACGCGGCCGCGGTGGCGCTGACCGCTGTGGACTTCCCCGCACGTCTCGCAGGCCGCGCTGACGCGCGGGCACTTCAGTGCGAGTCGGTGACATCGGGCGTGCGCGGTATCATGGCGACGTCGACAATGGCAGACACGATGATCACAGTAGTGATTTTGGTGACGATGATGACGATGACGACGGCAAGGCCAATGACGGTTCCGCTGCTGACCACGCCGATGGCGATGATGGTGTCCACGTGTTGGTGATAACGTTGCTAGAAGGATTTCGACATGCTCGCGCGGCCGACGAGCGCAATTGGCCTGCATGGTGTTATTTGATATGGATCGTGCCCCCCCTCCTTCTTAGCAACCGCGCAAGGGCGTTCGAGTGATTTCGATTTGCGCGCGCGAGAGGGCCGCTTGGCCGCACGGGATGCAACAGTTTCCAGATTCCTGCAAGTCGTCCCCGGCGACAACACGACATAACTAACGCTTTGTTTGGGCATCAAAAAAAGAGTAGCGGGCACGATCGTCATGAAGTTGCGGCCCTGCGTAAATGCCCGCGCACAGTAGCAGAATGGCCGCGTAGGGTCAGGCCACAGGGGCCCTCTTCGCTCTTCGCAAGATTGGTTCTTGGTTTTAAAATGGTTCTCGTAAGAATACTCAAGCGCGCTGTCGATCCTTTCCCAGAGGCGCGTTGCAAAACAACTTTTCATGCGTGTCCTGGACACTCGATTTTGAAGGCCTTGGGCAAGCCGTGGTTTCCGAAGAAAGTCGGCATGCGCGCGCGCGGCGGCGCGGGCGTGTGGACTGTGCGACATATGTTACAACGGATTATTAAAAATGGCTGATTTGCGATAAACCAACGCGCGCAATATGTTTGAACACGGTTGATGGGGAGGGGGTCGATGTTAGTTTGGTTGGCATGGTATGGGGCCAACGTTCGAAGGGACGATGGGGCAACGCCATCTGTAAATTGTAGCACCCTTGGGAGGGGGTACCCAGTGGGGGGGATCATAATCCCTGGTTAAAACGGTAAACCAGTGTTGTGAAATTCACTTCTGGAATTCGCAGTTGTCAGAAACAAACCTCTGTGCCCAAAGGCAGATCGCATGATTAACTTTCCCCTGGTCATCGATGCTATTGGGATGGTTCTCGATCTCGATTCGCATCGTTCCAAGAAGGGCCTCCCATTCTGAGAGATGCTTTTCTGGAGCAGTTGCCCAAGCTTGGTACCGTACGAGGAGACCCAGCCTCCACTTCAAGCGGGGCGAACCAGAATCGGAACACCGACAAATTGTTGACTGAAGCTGGATGGTCACCTTCATAAGATGTGGCCGCTCCGCTCATAGCCCTGCGAGCGTACCACAATACACGTGTCTGAAGTTTCTCCAGCTGCACGGCGGAGGGGATGAAGCAGTCGAGACCTGACAGGGCGGGGCCGACAACACGACTGAGGAAGACTGCGCGTGTCTCTGTATTCGGCAGCGTGGGTTGGTACCAATAGCGACCCATCGCCGCGAAGCCAGCATCCTTCGCAGCAATCCAAATTTGCAGTTCATTGTGAAATGTTGAGTCAGGCCTGAGGATGCTTCCAAGCATGCACGCACGACCTTTAGCAACTCCAGCTGTAGGTAGTGGGCCTGGTCGAAACTGTTGATGTGTATGCTTGCTGCCCGCGCCGAAAACTGCTACCACCGTTTCATATCTGGACATGTTCGTTTTGTACTGTTGCTTGTGCATGTGCGTGTTGCTTATGTGATCATATGTCATGTATTGGTTGCTAAGCTTTTTGCCCGTGTCTCCTCATCTCCTCCTGGTAGTAGTACTTTAGCAACAACGCCATCGACGTAGCTATGGAAGGTGAGGTCGAGCTCGATATTGGAGTCGAGTAGGGGGAGATCGATTATACACCATGTAGCAGGAGGAGGAGCAGGAGGAGCAGGAGGAGCAGGAGTAAGGGAGAAGGAGGAGGAGGCGGAGGAGGAGGAGATGGCAGCGTCCCCAGGGGCTCCGATGCCTTCTTATGTCGAGAGGAGGACGAAGAGGCGGAGGATGACGAGGGCGACGAGAGCGAGGGCCAGGGCGATTACGAGAGCGAAGGCGAGGCCGAGGGCGGCGAGGGCGAGGGCGAGGGCGGCGAGGGCGAGGGCGAGGACGACGAGGGCGGCGAGGGCGAGGGCTATGGCGAGGGCGTCAAAGGCGAGGGCGAGGGCGAGGGCGTCCAAGGCAGGGCGAGGGCGAGGGCGGCGAGGGCGAGGGCGAGGGCGGCGAGGGCGAGGGCGAGGGCGAGGGCGAGGTCGAGGAGGCACGGCTCCAGGCGCGTTTGCGCGCGTGCTCGCGCCGCGCCCTCTCGCGCGCGGCCCTCCGCGCGCCTCGCGGCGCGCTCCGCGGCGCCCGGCGCCCGCCGGCCGCCACTCGTCCTCGGCGGCGCCCCGCTTCTCTGTGGGGGGGAGGCGCAGCCCTAGATCCCCTCGACTCGGGAGCACAAGTCACGGCGGGAGGTGTTTCGCCATTTACGGCCCCTGTCAAGCAGTGGCGAAGCGTCCCGGCTCGCCTATAGCCCCACCAAACAATGTTCTAAGGACCTTTTGTGGTTCCCACGAAATGTTCTCAGAACATTTCTGGCTGGGACTGTCTTGTTTTAACACATCGGGCTTATGTCTTAGAACATTGTTTTGTTCGTGGAACATTTTTGGGTTCTAAGAACATTTCGTGGTATGACTACAGGAATGCCGGGACGGTCGGTCCCTGCTCAACCCGGAGGCTTCTCATTGGGCCTCGGGAGCGTCAACCAAACGACTCGGGATTAGAAACCGGTGCCAGGGAATGGGTCCAGACCTCCTTGGGGGTGGCGTCGTGAAGACATCACGACGTCGGGGGTCTGGGGCCCCCGGGGCGGGGATGCTTTCGGGAACTTTTGGGTCGCGTGTCGCGCCACGGGTGCCCACCACGCTGCGGCGCGACACGCTGGCCACCTCTCCAGTTTCCAGCGTCTAAGACCGTAGCTTTCCCGAGCCTCCCGCCCCGCGGGGCGGAGCGACACGCCGTCCGCGTGCAGGCCATGGCGTGCCGCCGGGGCCTCCGCGGCGACACGCTAATGAAGAGTCCCCGACCGCAGGACAGGGATAAATCGTTGCAGAGGCTTCCAGAACGCTCTGAGAAGGCCGCGGCGCCCGATACAGCCTCCAGAACCGCAGGATCTCCAAGAACCCGCTTGTCAGGGGCGGCCTAACCGACCCCCAGCAAACCATCCCCTTCCGTGACGTCTCCCTCGCCTCTTTCCAAGGAGTATGTATGCGGCCAGAGGGAAGCTTGAGAGGCGAGGGGGACGTGATGGAAGGGGATGGTTTGCTAGGTATCGGTCAGGCCGCGCCCGAGCTTGATCTCTGTCCGATTCTATGTTTGCCTCGGCCTCGCCTTAAAACAGCTGACAGAGACATACACTTTCCGAGGTCCGCGCGGATCGCTTTGATCGGCGCCGGAGCCCCTTGGCGCCGCCTCCGGCGCCGCCCCCAGCGCGCTCCGCGCGCCAGGATGGGGAGCCCAGCGCCGATCCAAGAAATACGCGCGGACCTCCGAAAGTTTACGCTCATCCGCCACAAACCCCCCCTCCTCCACCTCTTCCTCCTCCTCCTCCTCCTCCTCCTCTTCCTCCTTCTCCTCCTCCTCCTCCCCCTCCCCCTCCTCCTCCTACAACCCACCCTCCACCCGTTCCGACAGCACGTGCCCAACCCCCCCAGCGGATCCAAGGGGGGGCGACGTTTGCCCCATCCATCCAGAGCATATACACAGACGCCCCCCAATGGATTGTTATTGGGCCTCAGTGGAGGGAAGAGGGAATAGGCCTGAGGAGGAGGAGGGGGAGGAGGGAGGAGGGAGGAGGAGGAGGAGGCGGAGGAGGAGTGGAGGGTGGCGGTGCAGAACGCACCGCTGAGATCCATCGGCTCTCTACACCGCCACCACCCCTGAGGGTACAGGCAAATTTGGTCGGCGGGCCGCACACGCCCACCCCGCCGCGCCCGACGATCGTCGTCGTCGTCGTCGCCGGCGCCGCCGCCGCCGCCGCCATCGCCGCCGCCGCCGCTGATGATCGTTATCGTCGTCGTCGTCGTCGTCGTCGTCGTCGTCGTCGTCGTCGTCGTCGTCGTCGTCGATCGTCGTCGTCGTTGTCGATCGTCCAGCCTCGCCGGCGGGGGGGAGGGGCAGGAGAGGCTGCGGATGGCAGGAGGCAAAGGGAGCTTAGATTTGCACTTAACCTCGCCAGCACAATGCCGCACAGCGAATGGGGAGGATGAGGGCGGGGGGAGATTGCGAGTGCAGAGGAGGGGGGGATAAGTTCCCCGTCCTCCCTTCTCCATTCCTTGTTCCTCCCCTCGCTCCTTCCTCTTCCTCCTCCTCTTCCTCCTCCTCATCCTCCTCGAGGCCTTCTGGGCCCTGTCGGTGTTTCCGCGGCCTCGCGGAGATCTCCTGTGTCATGCTGGTTTCTCCTGAGATATACAACTGTCTATCACGCTACCCTGATTTCTTCTGGGGCCCTCTTAATCCACAACATGGTTTCTCGCGGCTCCTTTTGGCATCGACTCGGATCCCCAGAGAATGGATGGATTCGCATGATCGTTATTGAGGTGGGCCCTCCTGATGTACTGTCGGGTTTCTAGTTTCAGAACTCGAGCATCTACGTTTCAAGGCTTTCTGTGGAAGTGTACGAACTGTCTTGTTCTGATGCCCAAAGACTTTCAAGCAACCGTGAAGCGTTTGAAGACGTGGGTAGCTTTTAAATGTCCCGGTACCTGAATCGTCACATTTCCAGGTTTCCAAACATGATGGATATCTAGTGTGTTCGGAAAGCTGGTGGACATGTTCAACTTCCTGGGCCCTGGATCTCCCAATATTCAACTCTCTGAACTACACAATCCGATCACGGAACTTCGTGGCACTTGGGCCCTAGGTTTCCACAGTTTCAGGTTCTCCCAGTATCTTGGGATGCAGGAGCTTCGGATGATTCACTATCTGGAGGGTTTTTGACGTTGTAAGCATGGGGCCATAACGTTTGAAGCACTATAAACATTGTTGGACCGTCTTGACAATGTATTCTGGGTTTGCAGATTTACAGCGTCACTGAATCACGGGGAGATTATCTGTATTACCAATCGTTGTTAACTTTTGAATTTCAGCTTAGCAAGCTCTGAACCTCCTAAGACTTGTTCCACGTTTTTAGATTGAAGCTCCTTGGGCACTGGATTTTCAGATGTTCAGATTCTCAAGGCCTCCAGGTAGGACAGGAGAGGACAGGACAGGACAGGACATGACAGGAGGAGGAGGAGGAGATGGCAGGATTGTTGCTGTCATGGTTCAGCCTGCCATCGCAAGCCCCCGTGCAGACCTGATGTAGCACTTACCCCCCCATGTCTGGCATGGTGGTCGTCCGTACCCCTCCCTCCCTCCCTACTGTACCTTACATTCTCCTTGGCTTCCAGTTCCTCCTGCTCCTTGCAGCTGTCCTCTTCTTTCGCCCCTCCTCCTCCTCTTCCTCTTCCTTCTATTCATGTTGGTTCACCATGCCGCGCATCGTCAGTGATTGGCACGGGGCCGCACTGTGGGGTACGCAGGCGGGGCGGCGAGGCGGAAAGGGAAGCGATCTTTTCCACCGCACCCGCCCTGCGTGCAAGCCTCCAGGCAAGACTGGGGCTCGGCCTCTTTTCATGAGGCGAGCACCACTGACCGCCTGGCTGCTGTCGGCGAGCTCGCTCCTCAAAGCTTCCTGGCCTCTTTCTGGGCCAGCTCTGCTTTCTCACGGAGGGCATACTATGCCGCAGGGCCAGCAGGGGCGACGCCGAACCTGGCACACACACACACACACACACACACGCTGGGTTGTCTATTCCCTCCTTCCTCCTCCTCCTGCTACTACTTCTACTACTACTTCTACTTCTACTTCTACTTCTTCTTCTTCTACTACTACTACACTACTACGACTACTACTACTACTACTACTACTACTACCACTACTACTATCGTTACTGTTACTGCTACTACTACTACTACTGCTACACTACTACTACTACTACTACTACTACTACTACTACTACTACTACTA